TTATTAATGAAACATTTACCTTACCTTCCTTAGAAAAAGAAAATACTTTGGCTGATTCACTTTCAAGACAAGGAATGACAAGAAATGATCTCTTTTGAGGAACAACCACCTAAGATTCTAACCTATACTCTCCAACTATAAACAGAAAGGTTAGGAAACTGAGCTTCCAATTGTGAGGGATGCCCTGGAACCATTATGAATTCTCTCCTGAGGGATTGTGGACCAGAAACTGACAATGTTCAGCTAAATGTATTCAAATTGGACAAACTGGAGAAATAAATAAGCATTGTTTTAACCAGTATAATGCACCTTTCCTTTTGCACCCAACATAAGTTGCTGATGGATTGAAAGCCTACATATGAAAGAATACTTTACTTTCTCCAAGTAATTGATCCCAACTGAAGCAACACCTTCCAAGTAAATCCTCTGCTTGATAAGATGGTTGTTATTGATTATTATTACACTGATCACTGATTAAAGAATCATTTTATGACTAATTATGTGGCCAAGCAACTTTTTTCTTGATCAGTATCATGCAGGCAAGTATTTGAAAACTAAGTGTCAAAAACTATCACATTTTTTTATATCAACATTGATATAGAAAAAAAAAAAAAAGAAAACCAGTGTAATGAAAAGAAAGATAGAAAGCGCACTTCTTCATGAAGAGGAATTAATTGTGTGAATCCAGAATTCCTTCTCCCAGTTGAAGAGCGGAAGTCTTCAATGTCTGAGCCTGACTCTGCAGCTGATATTTCATTTCCTACAGCCTGCAATAATCAAGGAAAGAACAAAATGAAAATAAAAAAAAAAGGATTGCTACAAATGTAAAATAAATTAAAAAAAAAATCAGGCATTTGATCTGCATGTCACCTTAGAGGCATGAATTTTGATTAGCATATTGTCTTCATCAGAAACATCAGTAGATTTTGTCAAGTATGCTGCTTCTCCAGTATGTAACAGCTGCAGACAAGATTGAGATATGACATAACCCAAGTATTTTGTGGGAAGTAACTAATAGCTCAGGACTGTTTGACATTATAGTGTATGCTGACAGGTCAGCTATACTGTTTTCTTTTATTTATTGGACCTTTTATGTTTTTTTTTTTGGATCAGCAACACAGAATAGATTCATTAATTTAAAAAATTATGTACAACAAGAAGTTGTGGGCAGTCAAAAAGTCCAATATGTCCCACTAATTACATCACAGCCCCAAACAGAATCCAAAGGACAATTCCTTTGATTACATCACAGCCCAAAAGGTAACCCTAAATAGATCCACTAACTACAACATATACATAGCCCAAAACATAGATTTTCTAACTCCTTGTTTAGCAAGGCCATCATCGGTCATGCTGTTAGCTGACCTTCTAATCCACCTTTTTTTTTTTTTTTGATCAATAACACTTTCATTAATTCATCAGTAGAAAATTTACAAGTGGAAGACAAACACACTTATCTTCCAAGAGTCACAAAGAACTTCAAGAAATGAAAAAAGAAAATACAAAGATACAAATACACTAACGTTACAGCTTAGCCCAAAACAAAGAATCCCTTTCTGCCCCTTGTTTTGCTAAACCGTCAGCTAGGGAATTAGCTGATCTTTTAATCCAACATGTCTTAACTTCCATCTCCCTCACCAGCCATTTGAATTTCCTCTTCTCATTATTATACTTCCATAAATCATTTTGATCTTTAGTCAGCCATCCTATCACCACCTCTAAATCCCCTTCAATTATAAGTTTCTTGATGTTCAGTTCCTTGGCTTTTCGGGCTCCTTCCATAACTGCACATATCTCAGCTCTAAGGGAGTCACCCACTTCTAATCCACCTTATTTGAATCATCATTTCTTTAGAAGCCTGCTTAATCACCTGAGCTCATTTCTTAACTGCCAAATTATTCCTTCTCCTTTCTTCAGCCATTTTATCACAATTTTTTAGTCCCCTTCAATAATCAATCTGTGAATCCCCATTTCTTTAGCTTTTTCAACACCAAATACTGCTGCCTTCATTTCTGAACTCACCATGCCCCCATGCTGAATTGGACCTTTTATGTTTCTTATTCTTATGTTTGTTAGCAGGCTTTTATTATGTTATTTATTGGGCCCATGGGCCTCTTTATTTTTTATTTCTTAATTGCTGCCACTCTATTAAGGGTATGACCTAATTTCATCTCATATTATACATGAATATAGAAAATAGAGGGGACTCTAATGGACCCACCATCTGATTTTCCAGCCCTCAGAGGTCTATATCTTTCATTCCTTTTTGGACAAAAAAGTCCAGTCCCTAACGCTAAATGGCACGTTTACCACCAAGTCCTTTGTTTTGATAAACTTGTTTCCAGCTCTCTCTCCACTCCGTTTCTAGGAAACAGGATATGGCTCTCTACAGTTGCCCCTAGAGTCTCCTTTTTTTTGGGAGGCAGCTTAGGGGAAGCTGAATACTTATGACATCCCAGAAGAACAAGAAAGGGAGTTGTGTATCAGAGAAGGGGAATCCATTGGCCACCTGCTCATCAATTGCCATGTTGCTAGAAGTCTTTGGCAATTCTTTTTTGGCATGATCTTTGAGTGTAGCTACTGCTGGACTCCTAGTTCAGTTGGTGAGTTCATTAAGCAGTGGAAGTGTTACAAGTTGGACAAAAGATGGTATTGGAGAGCTATAACTCATGTTGTAATGTGGGGAATTTGGGAAGAAAGAAATAAAAGGATCTTCAACAACAACACCTCTCCAAGAAATAACTCTTGGATTGATCACCAACAAGGATTTTGCCAGAGTTAATTTTGGGGACCTGCAAAGGTGCTGGTTGGAATGCTTACAGACTTCACCTGCTCACCCCCACTCTTATAATCTCCCTTCAAGGCAGGAAGGTGACATAATTCTCCAATTTGATGGAAGTTTCAGGAAAGAGCATTACTCCCCTTCTTTTGCTGGTATTGGAGACCTATTTTACAACTCAAGTGGGGATAAATTGGGTTTACAGTGGACCTACCACAAGAAAAAGCATCAGTAGCAGAAAGCCTGAAACCCATGCCCTCTTAGGATTGCCAAGGCTCTTTAGGTCAGCTCCTTTGCACTGGAARGTGACTCTAGAAATGCCATTTAAGTGAAATAAAGAACAGGGTTCAGATCCTTGGAAATTATCCAACTTCTTACATGAAATCCATGAAATTTCTTCCTCTGATATGAAGCCTCAAATGAGTTTCCAGAAATCTAAATCAGGTGGCTTCTGGGTTAGCAAAATCTAGTTTAGGAAGGGATTTTTTTTTGGCTCTTGTTCTTTTTGTCTTCTTGTAGAGGTTTTGTACATCCTTTCACATACACTCTTCCTTCCTTTTGAATAGAATATAAATTATCTTTCTTCAAAAAAGAAGGCATCAATTAATATTGCCCATAATCCTGTTTAGCATTATTGCAATAAGAACATTAAATTTGATCAGCATTTTACTAGGAAGAGGGTGCTATCTGGAAAAGCATGCCTTCTTTATGTTAAGACAAAYCAACAGTTAGAAGATGTTTCACTGGTGGAGTACCTAAGTTGAAGTTACATTCTACTCTTGGTAAATTGGGGATGCTAGACATTAATCCCAAGTTGCAGGGAAGTGTTGACAAGCTGGCTATACTGCTTTTCCTTTTTCTTTATTTATTTGGACTTTTATTGTTCCTATTCATATTTTTGTCTGTGGGCTTTTATTATGTCATTTATTGGGCCCATGGGCCTCTTTATTTTTATTTCTTTAATGCTCCCGCCTTATTAAGGGTACAGATGTAATTTCATCTCATATTATACTTGAATATAAAAGATAGTGGGGACTCTAATGAACCCCATGATTTCTCTTCTTCTTCCTTGTAGCTTACTCTCTCCTTCCACTTTTCTTGGACTAATCCTAGGTGTTTATACGGCTGAAATCAGTCTACTGTGCATGAATGAAGAATGCAATCAAAGAACAAGGGTCATACTTTCATTATTTCTGGATCATTCCATGGTCCTTTATCAGATCGAAGGCACCCTCCTTCATTTGGGCATGCACAAGAGCCACCTAGAAAATTTGGCAATTGGCTGTTGAAAAAACAAAAGCATGTAAAATGAGTCTTGGAGAAAGATGTGCACAAAAATCCACCTATTATGGACCAACACTTAACATACTGAGACAATAATAGCAACAAAGAAACTCCAACCTGGAATCTATGACTTCTAGCAGCTTATTCTGGTATTTATTTCCTAGAACCTGTGAAATCAGAAAAAAAAAATCACACTTTTTCAATCTCATAAACCCAGAAAAGTTAGAAGAAACAGAAGCATTGCATGCCCACTTACATGTATTTTTGCAGTAGTCCTTGGATCAAGAAAACTTTTTACAGTATTCCATAGTAACTTGAACCCACTACCAGCATTAACAATGAACATTTGATGCAATGTCTGTAGTAGATAAGCTAATATCAATAGCATATTTCATATAAGAATTTGAGGAATGTTGAAGATTTGTGTTTGTTAAAGAATGAAACCTCAGGATAGTTGTCACCATCAATTTTCTGCATGCGCATGACAAGATCATGTGCAACCTTGCCAAAACTCATCCAGTTCTGCAAAATATACAAGCCATGACTAGTAAGTAATCCAGGAAAATATCATACAAAAATGGCAATATGGATACAGTGTAGCAGATCATACCACTCCTTGCACATCCAATATCGTTGTTGAAGAGTCGATATGCCTCTTAGCCGCAATAGAACATGCTGGAAATTTCTCAAGAAAGGCCTTCTCAAACCCCTGAACATGGTACTTTAGAAACCGGTCCACAGTTGTTACACTCATAAGCTTACTAGGTTCAACTTTTCCAAGTCTTTCAATATAAACAGGTCTTCCCTCTTTGTCCACTCCATGGTAGCCATGAGGATAATAACATTGAACTTCTTCAAACTCATGAAATATGAAGTCCTAACCACAGTTTGTTGTATTACAATATCTGTTAGAATGCTCAGATAATTATTCAAATCATAGTACATAATACACTTGTAAAGGAAATCAATCATATGTGAACTCCAATGTATTAATCATCTTATCATTAACCAGATCTAAGTTCTTTATTATGAAAAGCAATAAAAGTATGAAAAATTGCTTAGTCTAACAAACAAAGGAAATAATCCGGCCCAAAAAGCCTCTCAAGTCTCAATAAGAAGGCCAAAGTAAGTTGACTCAGTAAGAACTATCTAGGTGCTTGGGAGATGCCACATAGCCATTGAGAAATTTCTAATTCAGGTAATTCCAAGCACAATATTATGTACCTTTAATGAGAGTCAGTGTCTTAAAAGAGAGAGGTACGAGAAAAGTGAAATGGCCTTCTATCACCTTTTAAGCACCCAAAGCAAGGTACAAATTTTTGAAAAAAAAAATAAAAATAAATAAAAACATTAGTTCTTAAAAATATGAAAACTTGAATTTGAAATAACATTAAATATTTTAAAAAGCTCATTACTTCAAATCAAAATACATAAGAATGCATGACATATAAGAGAAATTCCAAGTGAAAGTGAGAGCAAACAAATGTGGATTGCACAAAAGAGATTCAAACATTCAACAATTCAAGCATATAAAACTCTTAACATATTTGTCTATCTCCTAGTTTCATTACTTTAAGTAGCTACTGTGATGTCAAATATCTTGCATTCCTAATCCTAGGAGGTCGGTGCCTGTTGCTGCCAAAAACTGGCAACTGATACGAGTGAAGAAAATCGAGAGCTGCACGAGCCAAAGAAAAAGTATGAACCGAGCTACTTCCAAAGAGGCCTGCAACACCCACAAAATTAGAGGTCCTTGAGGTGTGTCACCGGGGAAGAATCCAATAAATCCCACCTATAAGAATCTAAAATAAAGTAGAAAAGAAGCGGAAGATTGAAGAAGGTGGAAGAGAGAAAGTGTATAAGAAGAAGATGGAAAAGGAAAGGGAAGAAGGAAGAGAGTCAATCGAACCTCTCCCCAGTACCCCACAATTATCTTTTATCTTTGATTGTAAAGTGAGTACAATTATCTGAATACCCTTAGTAGGGCGGCCAACACTAAAAGCAATAATAAAAGAAAGAAAGCAAACCCATAACTAAGGCTCACTAATCACAAACATAAAACATAAACAGAACTAAATAAAAACAGAAACTATGACCCATTCATCCCATCATCTCTTAACTCCCTCTCAAGTTGAGCATATATATCAATCATGCCCAGTTTGCTTACATAATGTTGTAACCTTGCCTTAGGGACTCCCTTGGTCAGAACATCTACTAATTGTTGTTCTGAGGCAATGAAAGGAAGACAAACTTCTTTGAATGCCACTCTTTTTCTTATAAAATACTTGTCTACTTCAATGTGTGTTGTCCTTTCATGCTGAACTGGATTGTGAGCTATGTTAATTACAGCCTAGTTATCATAGTACAACATTAAGGACTTATCATATGCAATGCCCATCTCCTCTAGAAGTGACCTGAGCCATAACAACTCTGAAACTCCATGTCATGGTCTATATTCTGCCTCAGCTGATCTATCTACCACAGGTTGCTTCTTCTCCAAGAGACATTATTCCCTGCTACCAGAGCATAGTAACCAGATGTAAATCTTCTATCATCAATACTACTAGCTCAATCGGCATCTTTATAAGCCTCTAGCTTCATGTGTTCATGCCTACAGAAGAGAATACCCTTTCCTGGAGTTCCCTTCAAGTAACACAAAACCCGTTCTACAGCAGCCATATGTGAGTCTTTGGGGGCATGCATAAACTGACTAATCACACTAACAGCATATGAAATATTTGGTCATGTTATCCAAAGATAATTTCCCCAAAAGTCTCTAGAACACTCCCATGTCTGCCAAGAGCTCACCATCATTAGTTGATAGTGTATGGTTGGCATCAATAGGTGTAGAGGCAAGTTTGGCACCAAAGTTTCCTAGTCTCAATAAGAAGTTCTAACACATACTTTCGTTGGGAGATGAAGATACCATCTTTAGACCTTGCAACTTTTCCCAAGAAATATATCAATTCCCCTAAATCCTTAATTTCAAATTCTAAATTAAGGAAGTTCTTGAGCACCTAAACTTTCTTTATATCACTACCTATAACCATAATATCATCAACATAAACAATAAGGAGGGTAACCTGAGTACCGTCCTTTTAACAAACAGAGTATGGTCAAACTATGTATGAGTTAGAGTGTAGCCAAACTTAACAAGTACAACTTGGAATCTACCAAACCAAGCTCATAGGAATTGCTTGAGGCCATAAAGGGATTTCTTCAATTTGCACACCTTGCCCTGCATTTACTTACCATACATGCCTGGAGGGAGTGACATATAAACCTCTTCAGTAAAGTCCCAATTTAAAAAGACAATCTTAACATCAAATTGATATAACAACCAATCATAACTCATTGCCAACAAAACTCTCACTGAGGTCATTTTGGCAATTGTGGAGAAAGTCTCCATATAATCAACTCCATACACCTTTGTATAACCCTTGGCAACTAGTTGGGCCTTATACCTCTCAATAGTACCGTCAACATGATACTTGATGGTGAACACCCACTTACATCCCAGGTATTATTTTTGCAAAGTACTTCTTAGTGTTTCAAAAGGCGTGGGAGGCATACGCTTGGAGGCGAGGGGCTCCCAAAATGCCCTGAGGCGTATGCCAGAGGTGCTGACACCTCTAAGGAGTACGCCTCATGCACATCTTATATAAAAAGACAGAAAAAGAAAAGAAAAATGAAAAAAAAAAAGAAAGGAAAGGAAAAGAAAGAGAAGAAAAAAAGAGAAAAGGAAAGGGAAGGGAAGAAAAGATAAGGGGAAAGAAAGTGGTATTTTATTCTTCTTAACATAAAAGATTTTTATTAAAAATAAAGAAAAAATGAGATCCCCCCTTCCTCCCCCTAACCCCGCTCCTCTTAAGGAGGCTTACGCCTCTTGCGTTCTGAACTACACCTCACACCTCTAGGTAGTGGAACGCCTTGCATCACGCCTCCACATTTTAAAACATTGGTACTTCTATTTCAGTTCTCATAGCCTCCATTTTGGCTTAGACAAGGCCTTTATAATCGACTTGAGTATAGGTTGAGAGGAAATAGAGGCAAGGAAAGAATAATATGAARGTCACAATAGGCTCTAAGAAAAGTGTTTGGAGATACAACTTGTTGTACATTTTCTCTTGCCTTTTTTCACATCTATAGGTATGTCCAAGTCTAGGAAGGAAGGTGCTAGAGCAAGTGGTAAAGGACCCGTCCTCTCTTCAAGAACTAGGAGTGTCTGAGGCTTAACTGTAGAAGGGAGAACAACTTGTTCATTCTGTAGCCCTTGTCTTTAGTACCACCTCTAAATATGACTAGTGAAAACTAAAGGACTCGYAGGTCGAGTAGGAATGTGAGAACTAGGAGATTAGGACACAGCTAAAGGGACAGAAGGAGCAATAGAGGATTCAACACCAAGGTCAAAAGGAAATGGTAGAGGAAGTGGTGAAGCAAACAATTCAATAGAATGATCCCCCCCAAGAGAATGACCATAAAAAAGAAGTGGCTCGGCAAAAGTGGCATYCATGGAAACAATATGGGTGCCACTAGTGGGATCAAAAAGTAGTAGCCCTTTTGTGTAGTGGAATACCCTAAAAAATACACTTCCGAGCCTTGGGTTCAAATTTATGTGTTTAAGAGTTAGGAATATGAACATAACATGTGCAACCAAAGACACGGAAAGGAATAGGAAAAACATCACTCTCAATGAACAGAACAATAAAGGGGCATTTGAACCCTAAGACTCGAGAAGGCATGCAGTTAATAAGATATATAGTTGTCATAATTGCATCACCCCAAAATCTCACTGGAACAAGGGAGGCAAAAAGGATACACCTTGCTACTTCAACATGTCGATTCTTTCTCTCTACCACTCCATTTTGCTCTGTTCTATGAGCATAAGAACTCTGATGTACAATCCCGAATCTCTCAAAATATGAAGGTCATTCTCAAAATATTCCTTAGTGTTGTCTAATCGGAATATTTTGATGTAGGTAACAAACTAGGTAAGCACAAATTCATGAAATTGTTTCACAAGTTTAGGCACTTACAAAATTGTTTCACAAATTTTGATGTTGGACAGTGTATGCCCCCAAGTCCAATAGTGTTTTGTAATTAACATTTATCATGAATAAGTGCAATTATTGTGTGTCAAAATATTAAGTAAGGTCATTCTCAAAATATTCCTTAGTATTGTCTATTCAGAATATTTTGATGTGGTTATCAAACTAGGTAAGCACAAATTCATGAAATTGTTTCACAAGTTTAGGCACTTCAACATGAGATTGCATAAGGTAAAGCCAAGAAAAACAAGAAATGTTCGACAGTATATGCCCTCAAGTCCAATAGTGTTTGTAATTAACATTTATCATGAATAAGTGCAATTATTTCATGTGTCCTGTAGTGTGTTTGCTAATTAACCTTTGAACAACATTGAAGATTATGCTTGAGACAACATTTTCAGTATGTCGTCTAAATGTTCTTAACTAGTGGATAAACTTGGGTGGTTTAATCCTAACAAGGTTGACATTCACACACTACCTAAGTGATGGAATAGACTGTCTTATCTGCTAGGATTGTAACTCAAAGTGTGGGAATCGGTGTCTACTTGAAATACTGAACCAGACCAAATTTCATATTGTTCCTGGACTTTTGGATAGGTGGAATAGCTGAACCGTTGCTTGTGATCCCTGACTTGATAATAGTACTCAACWGGATATCCATCTAAGTTGCTTTTGATATGCCAATCAGTGAGATCCTTCTGGGATCAACATTTGGGTATGTTGGACAATTTAAGAGGGGTATCTAGGCAAGTGATCATTGTGATATGATTATCCACTTTGTGGGACAAAAAGAATATCTGTGAACATTCCCTCTTTCAATGAATAGTCA